ATACATAAAAAATGAAGAGTTTGAGGATTTTCTCATGGACCCAATTATTAGATTTTGACTAAATTTATATGGGACCAACCCTGAAATACCCCCTTTCTAACAAAAAAAGAATTATTGAAATCGGACACCGTGCTAAAGAATAATCGCTGAACATACATAAAAAAAATATCGCGACGAATTGATAACCTCATCCTTTTTTGAAGTCGGTTAAAAATACAGCCGAGTTTGTAGAAAGGACAATTAATTACTTTTAAATGTAAAACATGTAGGTCTTTCTGCTGCAGATGACATACATTAAAAATATGACCCGCTACAGTCAAAAGTTTAAAAAGACCAAAAATTCAGCTAGGTATGACTTTATGGTTAAAAGTAGATAGAAGAAAACCATGATCAAAACTACTCTGTCAAAACCAATCGGAACTAAAAAGACTCAGATAATAGTTGTTGGTTTTATTTATGTTTGAAATAATTAATTATATAGGGTAGGTACATATATTACTAAAATTGCAAGCAAGTACTTACTAAAGATTTCTATAATTGGTATCTATGTATAATAAACAACAATCTCACAGATGCACAGCATACACCTATACAAATGGAATTATAGAGATAATTTATTTTAAAAATAGGCATTCAGTTGCGATTTGTGATTACAACAAGTATTACAAATTAAAAATTTAAAAAAACCGACTTCATAAACTTGCAGATGCCATCATTATATCTTAACCAAATTTATATGGGACCACCCCTGAGGTACCTCCTTACTAACAAAAAAAGAATCATATAAATCGGACAAGGTGGTAAAGCATTATCGCTAAACATACATAAAAAATGAATAGTTTGAGGATTTTCTCATGGACCCAATTATTAAATTTTTACCAAATTTATATGGGACCACCCCTGAAGTAGCCGTTTTCTAACAAAAAAAGAATTATTGCAATCGGATACCGTGTTAAAGAATTATCGCTGAACATACATAAAAAAAAAATATCGCGACGAATTGATAACCTCCTCCTTTTTTGAAGTCGGTTAAAAAGAAAACTTTAACCACTTTTCTGATCAGTAATGTTAGTGTTATAGTGAAAAAGTTTCTAGAAACTGGTGTTTTTAATTTTTAATCCTAATAAAGCATTGTGAATTTCCAAGAAAAGTGCATGATGAAAATTGTTTTGACCAAAATTTTGAATGTCATGCCATTTAAAAAGAAACCCCAACAAAAGTACATATATGATTTACTTAAAAAACATCAAAAAATATATAATTATAGTTCAAATAAGTGTAACGTATCTTATGACACCAAAAACGTTTGCCAAATTTGGTAAAATTATAGGTAACTCTTCAGTTTTTCTGCGTCCCATTCTTAATAAGACCCTACAAAAAATTTTATTATTTAAAAAAATATTTATTGACCTTTAAACAACACTATTTTGTTGTTTTGATGTCTTATGCTAGCAGCTTTATTAACTCTAGTTTTAGTGAGATATGTTAGTCGGATACTAACATATTTATCAACTATGCACTTGATTAATAATATTCTTAATTCTATGATTATCCAACACAAACTGGTCCAAACTGTGCTGCATAATATTCGAAAAGACATTAGAATTTCTTTTAAAACTAATGTGCTGATGATATCAACTGATATTTTTTTCTTAGAGTATTTCATAATTGTTAATATTTTTTCATATTTTAAACAAATGTTTATTACATCTTCCGATGGATATTGCAAACCATTTTTATTCTTTATATCAATAAATGAAAATAGAAACAAATCTCTAGTTTTACTTATTAAAGCATCATTGATCACAAATGATTTTCTTTTTTAAATAATAAACAACATATCCAGAAATGTAAGTGATTATATATTTAGAAAAGGAGGAGACTGGATCTGGTAAATAATCATGATCATTTTCAATAACATTCACTTTCTCAAAATCGTCAATATTATCAGACATTGCATATTCCTTTGAAGTAACATTTAACTGACTTGTTATATTGCACTTTAAAATAGTTAATTTTTCCAAAGGAATACAATTTCCACGGAAACTATCTCTTAATTCAACATGAACTAAAATTTTTTTATATGCAGACTGAAATTGCCTGACTGTAGGATTATTGTTAAAACCTCCATGAGACCGTATTGAACAAAAAAATAATTCTAAATTGTCTTGTGAAATTTTGTACAAAGGCAAAAATTTTAAAAACTGATTTTCTACAATTAAATTATTGTATAGTAATTTTAGGCTTGCATTGCATATTTTTAAACCTAGAAAGCCAGTGGATCTATCAGTTTCTAATAGAAGTTTACCATCAGCATGTGTTCTTAAAGAACTAATATATTTATCGACAGAGTGAAGAAAAATACATGTATTATTGTAATTATTTTCAGATAGAGGTTTCTTATAATTGAATTGCAGAAGATTTCGTGAATTCAGGATGTCAAACAGAATGTTCATTTTTCTAATAAAATTAATTGTGTCTCCAGCATTTTTAAAATCTTCAATATGTAGAACGTTCTCACAAAAATCTAAGGCAGTTGCGACGCTTTCGCTAAATAGTTGGGTTGCAAGACGAACTTTCATTTTTTGTTTTTTAAAAGCTATATGTTGCAAGTTTAGCTTATTTGCTAAGCGGAAAGATTCATTTTCCTGTAATTCGTGAAGTTGTTCGAAATACTTCCACTCAACAATTTTATTTTCTTCATTTACAAATGAATAATACTTTTCTGCTAAAGTATTTCTAATTAACTTTAGCATATGTGGCGGATCTAAAAATATAACAATTTCTTCATTATTTGATGGATGCTTGAAACTAGTTTTTAAAGTTGTATGATGTAAATTACAGAACAAAGTCGGCAGGTTTTTAAATTAAGGAACATCAATTTAATGTTTGTTCATTTAATATTAATAATAATTGTAATGTGGTACATGAGCGGGCATATTATTTTATATCATGAGGATGAGGAGGTACATAGCAGTGAGTGATGGCCACAAATCTAATTAAATAATAAAAATACATCACCAGTATTTATTATTATAATGTATATTCATTATCAAAACGGTATAATAATAGGAAATTAGGATCTAATAAAAACTGCTTTTAAATACTTGAAACTTTATTCTAAATTATGTGTTACTTAAAAAGTTAGTCATTTAAGTGTAATTATAAGTTGGGTTTTAAGTTTAAATATAAGTTGGTTTTTAAGTTTAATTATAGTTGGTTTTTAAGTTTAATTATAAAGTTAGTTATTTAAGTTTTATTATAGTTATCTAAGTTTTAATATAGTTATTTGTCTTTATTATAAAGTTAGTCAAATCAATGTTCTCTATTAAGTTAGTTATTTAAGTTTTATTGTAAATAAAGTGTATACTAACTAAACATTCATTTATTGTCGGAACAGCATTCTTCTTCAATCTGACCCTAAACTCACTCTTATCAAAAAATTCTTCCTTCAAGTGAATAGAGCACAACATGCTATTCGGTTTAGGCTCAAATTGATCTTTTCCCACAAATTTAGACCAAATTTTAAGATATTGTGGGTCTTTTAGAAACCTATAATAAAAAAAAGTTAAGCATTTTAAAAAAAAATTTAAGTACACTCCTTATACTTACTTATGAAAACTTAAATTAGATATTTTCTTACGCTCTTTCACTGAAGAGTTTTTATAATTAATTTTGGCACACTTAGTCATGATTTTTATACAAATTAATCAAAAAAAAACACTTATTAAGATAGAAATAACGTCGAAATATTTAAATTTGAACAAAGTTCTGACAGCTCTTTGACAACTATGACATGACCACTAAGAGAGGGGGAAGGGGTGTTTTTTTTTGGCATGTCATCTCCATAGTATTCAACCTCATTGGTAGTAACACATTTACGAAACGAATCGCTTAACGACCGCTCAACGCATGCAAATTGTGCGATTGTTTTATCAAAACAACAATTCCATACGAACCGTATACAGACTTTTACGCGCAGATTATGGGCAATCGTCCTACGGAGCGAACTATTCGAAATGTCAAAAAATTTGAAGATACTGGAAGTGTTGCAGATATGAGAAGGTCTGTGAATCATTGTCGTGCACGTTCAGCTGAAAATAATGCTGCAGTTAGTGAAAGCCTGGCTGCCAACCCAAGAATGTCGATTCGTCGGCGCTCGCAAGTTTTAGGCTTTTCTTATAACTCCCTTTGGCGCATTTTGCATCGGGATTTGCATTTACACCCATATAAAATTCAGCGAACACAAGAGCTGAAGCCTAGGGACCATAACCAATCAACCTGAAACGTTAGATCATCTGAAAAACAATATTCGCCAAGTTATTGCCAACATACCGCCCAAAATATTTGAAAAAGTCATCCAAAATTATCTAAAAAGGATCGACTCTTGCAGAAGGTCTAGGGGCGGCTATTTAAATGATATTATTTTTCATACTTAATGAAATACTTAATATTTTCTATTGATAAAGTTAAAATATAATTTTTTCTAAATTTTTGAGTTTTATTTCATTTTAAAGATGGGATATTCAAATTGGATCACCCTTTATTTCATTTAGATTTACACTCAGATTTGAAGAGTTTTATCCACGTAAACGACAATTCCAAATATTTAAAACTTCTTTCGACGTGGACGTGGAGCAAGAGGAAATGTTGCTTCAAATGGAATTAATTGAACTTCAGGAAGATGATGTTCTGAAAAGTTAGTTTCGTGTGGTACCTCTGCAGTACTTTTTTATGAGATATGTTATCAAAGATAAATAATATTCAAATGAATACGTCACTTTTACCAGATATTGAACTTCTTATAATAGAAAGCAATTCTCATTAGTTGGAGTTATAGCACTATGTGACTGTGACTATGTAAAGTTATTGCATTATTTATTAGCTGACGTTTGTCAGTTTAAGTTTATTTTATGCATTAAATTTTTCTATTCAGTCTCTACAAAAAAAAGGTTGCCCATGCCTGCTGTAGACATTTAAAACTGTAATTTTGTTCTTACTTGGCAGGCGGTCCACATGGATTTCCTCCAGAATTTCCATACTGGATAACAGTAATTTCTCCTCCTTTTACGATATCGCTGCCTCCCAGATATTGATTATCGGACTTTCCAGTTACAGCATGCGATCCACAGGTTGGTGCTTTCGGCTCCAATTCTCCCAAAAGACACTGGATTTGTTTCGACGCTGATTGCCCATGGACATCTTCGCATTGATATGTGACGCTAGATCCATTCGCTATGGTGAGGCCTGCTCTGTATCCAGACATGTATTGGCCAAGAGGTATTTTTGGAAGTTGGCAGGGTGCTAAAAATAACAAATTTTGTCAGGTAGCTAAGCTCTAATAGATTAATGGCGTCACCACATGGTTTGCTTGGTTATGTAGAGAGGAATCAGCTCTGCACGTCTCTTGTTGCTACGTTCATATACTTGCTGGAGTTACAAACATGAATTTCCATAATATATAGCTTCATTCATTGGTTGTGGTCAACAATTTTCCAGTGATTTGGATAAACACCACAAAATAAGCTGTTCGAACCAGATATTTCGAAACACATTTTCAAAAAATTCGACGGTTTAATTTTGGAAGTAAAATTAGTTACTAAATAAAGAACGACAAAGAACTTGTTAACAAGCAGTAACATGTTAGTTAATATTAATCTACACTCTTAAAAATTGTTAATAGCCATATGGACATTATTTCCTGGTGAGAGAAGCAGATGAACATTTCTAGTTCTAGATAATATCTATGTATATGTACTTACTTTAAAGTATTTATAAAAATATGTTTATGAACCAGATGACTTTTTACCCTAGAGGTACTAAACCTGCTTAAATAAAATATTGATGTATGTACATGGAGTTTTAAAGGGAAATGTATATACGTTAAACACTTAGATGATTTAAAATCACCCATCGGTAATGGGCCTGTCGAATGTAATTTGTAACGAATTTACTTTTATTTACTTACTTGAGAAACATGGAATTTGTCAGAAAATAGAATTTAGCATTTTTATTAATTTTTTTTTTATTGAGCTTTAATGTCAAAAAATGTATAGTCTCACACGTTTACTATCATAATTTTTTATCAGTAGATGAACCATAGCTTCGACTCCCTACTTCCAATAATTAATTCGTCCCCTTAGTGCAACAACTAGATAACTTGAAATTTATAGTTTTGAGAAAATCAACTTTAAAGATTCAAAACGGAAAAAAATACACCTGTTAAGTAATCAAAAATATTTAATATCCATACAGATATGTTATATATCAAATTATGATTTGTTAATTTTGGAAACAATTAGGTTTTATATCTTTGCAGAATTTAATCAAAAACTTGAGATATCTAGTTGTTGCTGAAAAAAGAGTAAAGTTATCTATTTATAACCACTAACAATTAAACGCAACTTTATTTTGAATAAAAAATTAACAAGATTAGTTTAAATAAAACCCAAAAAACTCCACCCTTGATACAACTTAAGTGTCAATATCAATGATGTCGGTTTGGGAATCTTCCATGTTTTAAGGCCGTTTACGTTGGTCTCCTTGGAATGGAAGACTTTATACTCACTAGGGAGGGCCGGAGGATTCATTTTGAACAAAGACATAAGGTCGTCATTTTTTTTAAGTGGTAGTTGATTTTGATACAAAGGCTCTTGGGTATTATTTGAAGACTACATACGTGTATTACGTTTACAATTTAGACGTCTAAACTTCCGATCAAAATCTTCTATAAAATTAATAATAAATGACGTCAATTTTGAAAAGTTCAACCAGCATATTTTCTGCCAACTAACCAAATTATGGCTTTCATCTTCTTTTCTAAATAATAATTTTGAGTGCATAAGTTTATTTCGAGTCAAGAATTTGATTATGTCTAACATCGTGAACCAAATAGGGTTTATCACCTCTTCTTATTGCAGAGCGTGCTATAGTTTTACAATCTTCAGGCCAGTTTACTTTCCCAACTCTTTTTAGTTCCGTAGATTTAGCAGAATGCATTGAATCTCATTCCATCTCACTATGACCAACGACAAGAAATTTTAGTTCGATGGTTTTATATTTTCAGGTAATGATTTGAAATAACTATAAAGCCAACTAGCAATTTAACAACTCCCAGGTTTACCTCCAACTTCACTCCACATGTAGCAGTCCTCCTGTTTAGAAACAACATTGTAAATAGTAAAGTTGAACGATTTCAAACGCTGTTTATAAAATAAGGTATTGTTCGATGGGTCATTAGGAATCATGAGAACTTGTTGGAGATCAAAATAGCAACATAAAATATTTTTGATGGAGGTTTCAGCTAATTTCTTGTCGGACCTCTTTTCCTCTTGGGCCCTATCTTTGGCAGCAAGGTGTGCTTGATAATTGGCTTCTATAATTTATGTTTTAATGCTACTGGGTATATTGTAACTCATACATGTACGCACTGGTCCTTTCTCGGACGGTAGAAACCCAAGTTATATTTTTCACAAAATATCTTTCTGTACATTGACGAACTTAGGACAGGTAAATTTTGTTCTGTCTTTATACATTGTGTACATTATAGTAATATTAAGATCGGACGCTAAATACTTCCTTTGGATGTATTTAAATAGATTTTGACATACCTGTATCATTTTCTAATTGGCCACGTAGAATTTCTAAAATATTCTTTCCCCTTGACGTCATTTTTTGCATTAACACTGTTTAAAAAAACACCGTAAGAACAATTTAGCAGCACAGAAACAAACCTGTTGTTTCAAGCACACAACTAGATATCTCAAGATGTCTAGTTATGAAATGTATATATTGGGAGTTATCTGTTTTTAGTCACTCTTCAAAAATAAGTTTGGTTGCTCGTACATGATATCCAGTTGTTGCATTGAAAAGAGCATGAAAAATAGGACAGATTTAACTGAATAACTCAAAATGCATACATTTCGAGTTATCTAGTTGTTGCACTAAGGGGGCGAATTGATATAGTAAATAATTATCTGTAATTAATTATTAACGTCTGATTGAGCTTCGTCATTTCGAGAACGTTATTTTTGTTCATTTTTGTTAATTCGGTTTCCCTACGAATCTTGTTTCTTAAATAAGTAAATAAAAATAACGCATCACAAATTACCTAGATATGGATTTCGTATGAAGTTTTATTTGGCCAAAACTGAACAACCACTAGATAAAAATTTCAAATTTGGCAGATTGGCTATTTCTTTCAGCTTCAAAAATAACTCCCTATATATATGAGACATTTTTTTTTTTTTAATAATAATAATTTAAAAATATCTAATTTCTTTATGGCCAAATATGGCAAATATTTAGTTTTTTCCATGTATTTTTAAAATTACTTAATTTTGCACTATTTCAGGGATTGTTCTACAGGTCTGTAATAAGCTAATCCATTAATTTTTTAAATTAATTTATGTTATGTTGTAATTATTATTTCTGGTAAACTTTTTTTTGTTAATTTCCTTATTTTTTATAATACGAACTATTTAAAAATTTATTAAAAAAAAATCAGTGGAAAATAAAGTAATTAAAAAACAGGAAGTATAATACAACCGTCATATAATAGCGATTCAACCTAAACGATACGCCCCCTGGGCGCACTCATAAATATCTCTGTATAAGTACTTATTTGAATAACACTCAAAGCAAATGAGTACTTTTGCAAATTTTAGTACTCGTGAAGAAATCAAGCAATTCTAGTAAGTGACTCAAAGAGCTGAAAAGCAAAACAAGAAGAAAATTGATAATTGTAAAAATCCGTGTTACCACCTTTAGCCCTTATTCAAGCTTATATTCGTCTTGGCATGCTACTTATTAAATTGTCAACATTGTCTTGGGGTATGTTTCCCATTCTGCTAATGCTGCATCAATAAGCTGTGCGACATTTCCTGCATTGTTTCGATGACCTCTAACCCTTCTTTCGAGCTGGTCCCACAAGTGTTCGATATGATTTAGGTCTGGTGAACAAGCAGGCCAATCTAAAACTGTGACATCTTTCGTTTCAAGATATTCTCTAGCCACTCTGCTGATATCGGGAGGTGAATTCTCCTGCATAAAGATAAAATTATCCCCAATTGCAGTTCTCCAAAGCCTAACGATTGGTTCTATCACTCAATCAACATACCTCAGACCAGTTAAAGTTTGATGAAGTGGTAAAAATGGAGTTTTTGCTTCTAGCATAATACCTTCCCCAGAACATTACATTTCCTCCTTGATATCTTGGGACAGATCTGGCAGCGTGGAGTTTCGGTCATCTTCCTGGAACTCTAAGAATCCGATTTCGATGGTCATCTGATTTTAGGCCAATGTCTCATTCTAAAAAATAACATTTTGCCAATTTTCAATTGTCCAGTTTTGGTATTGAAGGCGCCAATTTAGCCGGTTAATTTTATTTTGCCTAGATAACAGTGGGACCCGTAACTCTCTCCTCCTTTACAACCCTCGAGCGCGAAGTCTTTTCCTTAGAGTTTCAACTAAAACGTTTACAACTGTAGCTTCCAGAAGTTGTCGTGGTAGTTCTGGATGAGAAAAACAGGGATTTTTTTAGCAATTTGGCACACAAAGCGGTCTTATTGTTCAGTTGTGACTCTTTGACGACTTTGTCTGAATCTGTTCTTGAAAGTTTCTAGTTCCAAGAACTCTTCATATATTTTCAATACAATACCCGGGATATCGCCTACTACCTCTGCTATGTCTCATTGGGACATTCCTTGTTCATGAGAGCAATAATTCTTCCCCTCTTCACATCTGTTAGTCCAACATAAAGCATTTTGTTGTTTTTTTGGACCGAAATAAAATTACCGGAGGATCGTGATTTTACTTCTAAATACAATATTCACAAGATAATAAATCGCAGCAGTCGTTTTATCTTTATTATCATGTTTGTTTTGAACAAAACGCCTTATCTTAAAGTTGGATACCAATTTTTTTTCCTTACAAAAAGTTTATTCAGAAATACACAGAGTGTGTATTTTAAAACGTATACATATACACGCATATATTGTTATGATTCCGTCATATGACATATTATATTCTTATGTTTCCCTCCTGTATCGTTGGCATCGATAAGTTATTTGCATTGTAAGAATGTAGTTAGATTTTGAAAATTATTGTAATTGTCAGATAATTTTGGAAAGACTGTCAGTGGGTTTTAGAATGGTCAGTTGAGAAATTAAAAAAAAAGTCAGTAAGAAAATATTATGTTAAAGTTGAAGAGTTTATATCTTAGAAATGTAATTAAAAAAAAAGTATGAAAAAAGAATTAAAAAAAAAGAATAAAAAAATAATAAAAAAAGAACAAAAAACAATAAAAACAGAATAAAAAAAAGAATAGAAAAAAAAATAAAAAAGAAAGATAAAGAAAGTTTTATTTAAATTGAAGATAATGTGAATTGAATTGCAGGAATTAGAGTTCAGTAGGAGGAGAGATAGAAGAAATTAGAGAAAAACAGCAAGAGAAGAAAAGGTAGGAAAACAGGACATGAGAACATGAGAACATGAGAACATGAGAACATGAGAACATGAGAACATGAGAACAT